ATCTCTGAACTTTACTTTCTTCTGCTATTATCTGTCTGCTGCTCCCTGCTTGTCTGACACTATTTATATCTTTATCACCTAATCATCTGTCCACCTTCTATATTCTCGAGGTCAACGTATTGCATGCGACGTTCAATAGTCTCAACATTAATGAATTATTTACAAAACCTCCTACAATCATCCACTTTTAACATTTATTGTAACAAAAACTAAACAATAATAAAATATTCACTCACAAAAACAAATCAATCAATAACTCTTAAACTAAACAGTCTTTTATATCACGACACTGGCTTATTCTGCTCCATTGTTCTTTTTTTCTGTAGGGAATATGTATGTTCTGTATGCATATAAATTTTTCCCTAAATGCTTCTCACATCTGTTTAAGATCCCCTCCCAATTCTTTAGTCCAATCTACAGAAGCCAAATCATATCTCATTCCATCAACATTGGCTTTCCTGAAATTTGGAATCAGGGTACTATTCTTCTTCAATTCTACATGTAGTAAAATCCCACACCTAATGGTGCAATGGTTGCTTGCACTTAAATGCCGACCAACCACAACTGTATACCTCATATTCACAACAGATGCTAATATTAAATCTAATATAGCTTCCTCTCTTGTAGGTTCCATCACCAATAGGTATATAAAAGTATCCTGAACGATTTCCAAAAAACTATCCCCTTCACTGTCAGACTCAAAAATTTCCCAATCAATACCCCTGAAATTAAAATCTTTTTCAGCTACCATTCTGATCTTGTGGTCTATAACAAATCACAATTACAAAATTTTCCCTTTATATCCACTAGCACTAACCCCAAACTGACTCAACCTCAGTGCTAGTTTCTTTAATACGCTCTAACTCAACAGGATGCAATTCACTCCTCACATATAAAGATACTCCTCCCTCCCTTTTTCTTCAAAACTCCATCTCTAGTAAATAATCTGTAGCTTGGTATTTCACAAAAAAAATGCTCTCATCAGAATTATTCAAATCCAACCAAGTCTTAGTGATACCCATAATATCAAAATCCTCAGTTTCCACAACTGCTTTGAACTCATCAATTCTATTTCTAATACTCCTAACATTACAACAGTAACAATTAATCATATACTATAAAATACGTTCATGTTTTATGCCTGTTGTACATGTTTTCCTGTCAATTATATTTCCTATTTTACTAATATCATAGCCCTCATCTCTGTCTAGCCCTAGTTTAAATATACCATTACAGCTGAGTTAATAGCCCTTTATAACATGCTAGCCCCTGCCTTGTTTAAGTGTAAACCATCCATTCCAAATTGAGCAATGAATGAAATAATATTTTTGCTTAAAAAGAATCTTAAGCATTTTCATAAAAAAAATATATAAAAAAGAAGAATCTTGGAGTGACTGTATTCAGAGGTTTCCTGGGTCTACGACTGTGATGAATTAACCTTCCTTATACCACACCAGTTTCCACTTTACTTCACTTGGAGTATATTTGAAGAATTATTGGACTTATTACAGAGTTGAGTTTGTCTTTCTCGGAAAGTGAGAATGAGTATTTTCCAACTGAAGATAGTGACAGCAGTGAAGAAAGAGACATTGGTAACAAGGTATCAAATTTCTTCAATGGATTGAATGAATCATTAGTTGAAAATAATTTATTTACTCACACTTACTTGTCAATTGTACATATTTACCAACCAACAGAAAGGCAGTTTTATGAACTACACAATTTTCTTGTCTTTATGTTATTTATTTTAGCAAAAGGTGCCATTTCTGAAGCAGATTTTATAAGTGAAGACAGAAATGAGTGCCTCGGTATGTAATGACATTTTTTCACCTTTTAAAGGTCAGTTAGAAAGCCTGATGAATTATAGTTGAGAGAATTCTGTTTTACTGTTTGTGATTTAAAATCTACATAAATTATTTTTTGGATAACCACCTTAGCGAGGCAAATTAAAGGTAAATGACAACTGACTTCCAAGAGCAAAATGGTCTCAATCCAACAGTAAATGCTACATTCACATTCTATGTACGTTTATATATTGATATATATATATATATATTTAACTCAAGTAACTACAATGTGAAAAGCAGAGACTTATTAGGTTAGATAAAAAATAAATAATAATAAATTATTTTGCCTAGATGAATGCACACTATGTGACATAACCGGAAAGTTTGTTTACCCTAAACTCTCTGCTCTGAGTGATTTATTGATATTTGTTGTAGTTAGAAGTGATTCAAAGAGCAATAAAACTATAATATTAAATGAAAACAGATGTAAACTGTTACAAGCCTGAAATTTTTTAAGATAAATAATTGAAATTTTCTGTTACTGTCTGCGGTCCTTTTAGAAAGAAGAAATGGCATATTAGACTTATTTTGTATTTTTTGTGGTGGTTATAAGATCAGTTCATATACCATTAAGGTAGAAAAATAACAGACAGAACATAAAGTTTTACTGAAAACAATCTTACACTCAGACTAGTCAGAATCTGAGTCAAGACTGACTAAAGTAAATTCAGAGACAAATCTTTAGTAGAAATACTTTATCAGAAATTCTGAACTCTGGTGTAATGTTCATTAAAACTTTGAAGTTTTTGTGAAGATACATTTAGTAAATATGGAATTATAAAATTTATAGTAAACATTAATTCTCCAATATAGGCTTGGTCCAATGACCAGCCCCATACTTACAAACTCTTTCAAGAAGTCCTCTCCAGTGATATAAAAATTTTACTATTTAACCAATTACAGAGAGTCAAAGAACTCTCGTTATAACCTGCAGCTCTAAATTTCTATCAAGCCTTTTTAAATGTGATGAACAACATCACTTACCAGTTGCCAAAACCATAATGTTCAACTGCTTCCAATAACAACAGTTCATCCACAGCTTTCCAAGCTCCAGCTGTTTGGAATATTAGAAATGTTCCACAGTCCTAAAAATCATTAAACTTATATTTACATTCAGTTTATATGAACTTTACTTACTTACTGAGAAATGCTGTTTCATATATTACAGCATGGAATGGTTAAAACTGGTCACTTGTAAAAAATATATTGGTACCACATAAAGATTCATATTAAAACTTCACATACACACATATTAAACAGAGAAAATTTAAACAAAATACTGAAAAGCTTTACAGATTCTACAAACTGTTTATCTTAGAACTCGCTTAAACATTTGTTTATATGAATGTACACTGAGTGGTCACAAGTAAATAGACACTTAATTTTTCGTCATTTAACTGATTTATGATAACTAATTTGTGTTCACAGAGCACTATATAAATGAAAATGGTCCGCACACTAATTATCTTGTGCTACAATATGCCTAGAACTCAAGGTTCTCTCGAATTGTCAGATTTTGTCAGATGAAGGATAGTTGGTCAAGCAGATGGTAGAATAAGTCAGCGGTAAATTTTGCAGAATTTGGGAATCCCGCTTTCGACAGTCAACAGAATCATCATGCAGTTCAGGAAACACGGCAAGGAAACAACTGAGCAGCGTCCGGATCGTCCTGGTCCATCGGAGAGGACAAAAAGGGCTGTCAAGAGGAGCATCGAAATGGATCCCAGATTAACGACAGCAGAAGTGACCCAAGTTGGTGGGATGAGCCTGAAATCTGTTCAACGGATTCTTCACAGATTGGGTTATTGTTGCAAGACGGAAGCCCTTATTAAGACCTACCAACATAGTCAGACGAAAGAAGTGGGCAAGTGATATGATGACCAAGCCTCTGGACTTTTGGAAGACTGTATTGTTCTCAGACGAATCAAGATTCGCTCAATTTTCGGACAATGGAAGGATATGGGTCTGGAGAATGCCTCACCAAGAGTTCTGGCTCAACAGATTGCAGCCAACTGTGAAGCATGGTGGTTTCAGCTAGATGGTTTGGGGGAGCTGTTTGGGTTGGTGGGAAATCGATCTTATTGGAGTGCATTGGCAACATAAATTTTGCAAAATACGTTGAAATATTGGAGAAAAGACT